CTGAAGCTTGTGAACTGGGAACATCGAGGAGTGCCTTCAGCCATTTCAGTGTGAGTGTCAATGGTGTATGTAGGCTGACCTCAATTACCAAGATATGCAGCGCTTAGCGCACTTTACTTATAACCGCCTTCGAGTGGGCACGAAGCCTGCAATAAATTCTGGCTGGCTCACAGTACGAAACCTATTTAACTGGGCGAATGCGGCCGGTTTTGCTTGCAACACTGGATCACAGAAGGCGATACTTAGTATCTGTAATTTGGAAATCAGAATGGCTTCATGAACAGGAAGAAAGCCATCCTTCTGAATGAAGCTGAAAGCTGAGGCTAGCAGAGGCCATCATGTCTGAAGCTTGGGCCCCAGAGTACTAGCAGCAAGGAAAGTTGGAGTTGTCGGGGTTACGGTTCCGGGTTTACAGGGCGTTTATGTAAGGGATTGCTCCAATTCATTCCAACACAGGTCTGTCCTTTCTTCTGATTGAGTGAGGGTTCTGGGTGGAAGGGGACGGGGGATCCAGGGAGCAGCTTGAAGACTTGAGATGTTTAACATGGACACTTTTGGGACTGGTTGGGAGTGTTCCGTGGCTTCATGTTGTGTCTTCGGGTGCTTTTTGAGAGAGATCATGTTATCTCTACTGAGCCATGCCATCGTGCAGCAGGTAAGTAGTGAAGAGGGATAGTTTTTACGCATGTCTCGAAGTTCTTGGAACTAAGTCTGCTTACACATGGGTAGGGGCTGCAGAAGCAACACGCCAACCCCTGCCAGGTTGCCCGTTCGCCCTAGAGATTCTTGACCATTTTTGCGGCTTCGTTGATTCATGGCTCCCTATCCAGCCGAAGGAAGTTACACTACTCTCAGTGCCCTGCACTGATGGCAGGGGTTTGGCAGGAGCTGTGAGAATCTTGCAAACTCTCGCCCCCGAACTCATGCCGATGTGCCGTTTGGGCAGTTTGTGAGGTCACTGGCCTGATGCTTACATACCAGCATGTCGTGGCCCTGGTCATCAGCCATCGGCCAGAGGTTCCTTGACTTTACGTTATCCTTGCTGCAGAGGCGCTGCAGCCTGAAAGCCCAGCGCAGTTTCTGCTCTGCGCTACTGCCTCGGCACCTCTGTCAAGTCAGGCAGCTAAGCACTGTCCCCTGCCTGATGGTGATGAAGATGATTGTGATGGTGATGCTGATGGTGGCGAGGGCCCCCAGTTGCAGATACATACATATCACCCAAATATGCAAACGCACACACACAATATGCGCAAGCTGTGCAAGCCTGGCTGCCAAGGGCCTACCCACTGGAGCACAGGCGACTCAGCTGCTGGAGCGGCTTCCTCCAAGTGCCGCAGCAGCACTTAATGTTGGACCGCCTTTATACGAAAGACCCGGTTTCATAACTTTTGGGTGAAATTATTCAGGATCTAGTATTCTTCGAGGGGCCTGGAACAATTACATTTTTGGCACCCAAAATATTAAGAATAGCAAAATGTCTTACCAAACTTAAGTTTGCTTCGGCAAAGAAAAGCACAGCAGAAACAGCTTGCGGGTGCTCTCTGAGACTACTTCTCTGTCAGACCAGCTGTACCTAAAAGGCGAGATATTGGAGAATCCGAAATCCGTAAACTCAGAGACGGGAGGACACAGGCCAGCCTGCCAAGCTTGAACCTTTCTTCCAAGCCATGTAGGGCACCGCGCACCGTGCAGATGCCCAAGCCTGAATTCTACCTCTAGATCAAAAGGGCTTGGCCTTCACCTGCGGGATATCTCTGCCTGGATCACCCGCTCTGCAATAGGATGTGTCTTCATGCGGTTCTGTGTTAATAACCTTTTCTGTCCAAGAAGAGTATTTTTGGCTTCTTTTGCTACTGCTGCTCCTGCGGCCACGTCTACTGCCACAGCCATGGCTTCGGCTGCACTCTGCTAGCTGCCTGCTAGCCGCCTGCTAGCCGCCTGCTAGTTTCTACATTGAACCAAGGTCCCCAGCCTGATGAAGAGAGTCCGGAGGTGCCATCCTAGTCTGGATAGACAGAGTTATCTGGAAGAAGTTCGCTCAATGGGCCATTGAAGAAGGGCCTTAAGTATTGGGGATCTATGCACAGCACACGCTCGTGTCCTGTTTAGCCGCAGAATTGTTTTAGTTTCCTTTGTCCAGGTAACCTTGCTGGTGGCAATGCCAAATCCAGGCACGAACCTGCGCCGGAAGCCAAATCATCGCAAATACCACTTAAGCTGCTGTTTGCCAGTAACCTGCTAGAACAGCTCGATCTTGATGTTCGGACTCCATACGCAGTGACCCCAAATTTTGAGATGCATGCGGGAGGTGGGCGCAGAAAAGTCCTGGCAGCTTGCACTTCAGAATGATTTCAGTGAGGCCCCGATAAGAGAGATCCCAACGTGTTGGCTGTGCGTTGGACCCTAGATGGCCACCTGACAGCCTCCAAGGCTTCGATTTCGCCAATGACAAGGCAACTCTGAGTCCGGCTCTTGGAATGAAGCTGTCAGCCGTTGCCCTTTTAGCTGGCAGCTTACATCTCCTTTAATTCACGAAGGCATGTCTTCAACTGTTTCTTGTAGTTGCCATGAGTCCAAGGCCGAATTGCACTTGAAAAGGGATCCTTCTCCAGATCTGTGTAAGAAGATGGATAGTGGTGTCCCTTGCGGTCAGGTACGGGCTAATGCAGCAGAGTGTAGGAGTTCCTAACGCCAGGATCCCTACCTGCAAATCTAACAGATTTTGTTGGCGTTTGCGGAACAGGTAAGGATGCGCTGCTCAAGCATGCCTGGCACTGAGCCATCACAGCCATGACTTACCGATGCGGACGGGGAGCGCAGGAGTTTACGCAGGGAATAGTTGTGGGGATGATACGGAGACTATATGGGCAAGGTCACAGGAGTTTCGCCGCCCCCCTCTCCCTTAAGCACTAATCACATTAAGAAACCTTTGGACCTGCCACCTGGAGGGCACATCAGAAATGCAGCAATCGAACCTGACCTCAATGAAGGTATCACTACTTCGGAATATTAGGTTCATGGGCGAACGAGGAGGACGCCTGAAAATTCAGTCGATTTTAGCATTCTGGGTTTATTATTGGCTTCGTGAATGCACGCGCTTGAAGTTGTTTCAAGAGGCCACTTGAAGGAAGGTCATTATCTTTCAGTTTGATTGACTGAGCACGACTAAAAAATGAATTAGATCATTGACGAGGGAGCATCATGAGGAGAGAAGGAGCCTTGGCCAACGATAGGACTGCAGAATGCTTTACATGAATTGCGTGTGAGACGTAGCTGCTTCAGCAAAGCGGTTATCTGCCTCTGGACTTTTCCTGTGGGTAGTATGGGTGGTGGTAGTAGTAGTAGTAGTAGTAGTAGCAGCAGCAGCAGCAGTAGGAGTAGTAGTAGTCGTCGTCGTCGTCTCTCTTCTAATTGTGTTTACTTTGTTTACTTATCAACGATTGTTGCTGATGAGGTTGAGTGGACTAAATGGAGTGAAGCGAGAAGTGTGAAATAGATGACCCTGCCTCTGCTTCAAGCCATCTGCCCTTAGTGAATCAATGAGTGAAGGAGGTCAACGTGAGGAGAAAGTCTGTGAACCATATGGGAGATGTACAGGACGATCTCTTCTTTTGAGAAGACAGATGTCCGCGTGCGCAACAGCAAATATGTATCTTGCGAGGTCTCTGCGCTGAACCCGCTTCTGGATAAGATGGCGCAAGGCTGGGGCAAGAGAAGGGCAGACGTCTCAGAGCCTCGACTGCTCTAGGCTGGATGCAGTTCGCATACTTTGCATGCAGGCGAGTCCGTGAAGATCGTTTGGACCTCGGGAAATGGCTGAATGCCAAAAGCTGAAAGGAGAAGACTCCGGAGCCTGTTTGAAATGAGGTCATCGTAACGGCAAATCCAGACCAGGCGGGAATGGCTTGAAAAGACACATGCTCAGGTCTGTCGCTGAAGCTGAGAATCCCTCTGAAGTGAAATGCTTTCGGGTCCTGATGCACATCACTCTTGCAGTTTGAAGTTAAAATGAGCAAACACAGCTATACAAGTCATGAAACACCATGCAAGAGAGACTGCAGGCGGCCTACCTCTCCCGGCTGGTTGCCGGGCATGACCGGGCCCCAACCTCAGTATTTCGAACTGCTGGCAGAAGTCCAGGTACCAGCCCGTGAGTTTGGCTGGCGGCAGCTGACGAAGCCGCGAGTTACTGCAGTTTAGCGTTGTTGTATGTTTTCCACATCCCAGAGAACCGCCTGAGGAAACTTGTTGCCGCAGCAGTTGCGCAAACAAGCAAAAATGTGTCTAATGCGTCATCTTTCGCAATCTCTCGCATCCATATCAGAGTAGGACTGAGGTTCGCCTGATTTGGCGTCGCTTCGCCCTCTTCAACGCAGACGAGCTCGCCTTATTCTACGCCGGAAGGCTGTCAGTGCAAGTGCCGGCTTGAAACTGGGGGCAGGGGCAAGAGGTTTTCTGCAACGGATGCCTGGAAGCCTACCAAACCCCATTTGCAAACCCTGCTGTTGTTGCATCGCATGATGACAAGTCCAGATGTCATAAGGAGCGCCAAGGCCTTTTCGACCAGTTGAATAGAGCTCACAAATTTACCGACACCCTTAGCTGCGGCTGCGTTTCCCGGATGTAGCATCTTCCGCAAGCCCTTGCAGGCAAGCCTTATGCAGTCAGCAATGTCTGGACCTTACCGTTCAAGTTGCTATGCTGTGTCCATGCTTCTGCAAGGGCGCCAAACGATGGGCCGAGGGTCGGGGCCCTGTGACCTCCTGTGGCCTGTGACTGAAGGGCCGTTGCGGAAGACATCTTCCCGTCCGTAACATGTAGCCTACTGAGTGCAACATGCAGGTGCCGCATGGAATCTGGCTGGAGTTTCCAAGCTTGCCAGTGCACCCTTCTGTCCCTTTGGAATTCCGGAGCGAATGGGTAGGTACTTCAAGGCTTGGTATCCCAAATGCACCATGGTACCTTTGTAGGCCATCCCTAACACTGACGCAGTCCTAAAGGTTTTTCAGTGTCCAAAGTTGTAAGTGCATAGCTATGGCTATGATGATGTCCGAAGTGTCTATGGATGATGCTCCACAGAGCGGGGCTTCAGTGGCCTTGGTCTTTGCTTTCACTTGCTTCTGGGCGGATTCTTGCCTTATTTGCCTTGGGCTGAACTTCATCCCCGGACTGGTGACAATGCTGAGCCTGGCATGTCTCATAGTCGTGTGCCGCATCGTGGTGCCTGCGAATCACAGCGAAGAAGATGAAGAGCAACCCGCAAATCTTCCTCGCAAGCAGGTTTGGGCCTCAGTGAACCTCGCCAGCCTGAATGCGAGCCCTCCGGACTTTCACCTCGTCCAGTTCCATCGACCTGCCGGTAGTTCCGAACAGCTTATGAAAACAGTGCTCTGGCAAGTATCGGTGCCTTCAGCAAAGGCACCATGCGAACAGCTGACCTGCAGCTGCTGTATGGATGATTTCAGACCTACGGATCCTTTGGCACTGTTACCGTGCGGACACGTCTTCCACGAGGAGTGTGTGATGAAGTGGTTCCTTACCGACGCGTCCGCGGGTGCATGCACAATGTGCCGAGCGCGGGTCTTGCATCATGTCAGCCAAGCAGCCAAGCAGCCAGGCCTCCATGAGAAGAACGTGAGTAGCAACGTGCATGCAAGCAATGCAGGCACTTGGCGGAGCGGGCGTACTTGATCGGCTCTGACATGCCTGACTTCCTGGGTAGGAAAAAAGAATGAGCAGAATGGTGGGAACTTGTGCGCATAAGATCTCATGAGGTGGCTTGTCTTGTCTACGCAGTGAGGCCTCACAGGTCTGCACAAGTTCTACAAGAGCATTTTTGAAATGTTTTGGAGCTTCAGGACGCCCCACCAGTGAGCTATGCGTTCAATACATTTCAATACCACCATATCCTGAAGCTCTTGATGCAAGTTAGGCACCCGCAAAACCTAGACACCCAGAAACTGAAAGCTGCGGTCTCATGGAAGCGGTCGCCAACTAAGTCATTCTCAGCTGGCATGCCAACTCAGCGGCCTAGGAGATCCCCGCCCAAGAGCGACCTTCAAATGAATGGGAAAAGTAGGAGGGGTGTCAGCAGAATGGGCTTCAATGAATCCAGGGTTCTTCGGGCCCGTCTCGGGCCTTATTCAAGGGCTGGGATGGCACTGCCATATTCTTGGTTACACCGGAAACCCATTCCGGGCGCGAAGCATGCCGGGTTCTGGCGCTCATTGTGGTCAGCATGCGGTTTGTAATCCCGTTACCGACTTTCACATTTTGATTCCCCACCGAAAAGGGTCGGGGAAGCTTTCTGCAGCTGCAATTCTCAGGCCCCAGAGGCCCTGGCAGGACTCAGGAACATGGATAGCACCTCATGCCAGGGTAGGAGGACACTGGCGAAAGACACAGCTGCTTTATGCTGATGATGGCAGCTAGCGGGCATTGCCATATCATGGCGTCACCAGATGTAGCCATGTGCGGGACCGAATCTTTGGAAGAGGCAACTTGTCTAGGCTGGTCATGAGATTTAGGATTGTCTATGGTTGGTGTTGCCTGGTAGACGCAGCCCTCATCCGATACCAAACAAGACGTGTTGGGACAGTCAATTCTGCTGCACCTTGTTAAATTAGGTCTTGGACAGAAGTTCTATTGAAGAATGTTTGTGTTTCCGGGCACGTGGAGTAGCCCAAAATGCTCAAGTACTGAGCGCGCGGCTCCTGTTCCTGAGCCCTCAGGGTCTGTCTTGCTTCATTCCAATATTTTTGTCGACCACACTGTTCAGTGAAAGCATGCCAGTGTGTCGTAGGACTTGATGCTCAGTTGTTGGCCGGTCGTGCCACACAAGCTTCAAGATAGCAGGTCCTTTGCGTGAATTTTCGTAGCCTCAGGAAGTTGCTCACAGTGGAGAGGACGAAGAACGTTGAGCCGATTGTTGTTCAGAAGCTGGTAATCTCTTCGCCAATGTCAAAAAATGCGTGCAGAGTAGCCCATGTATACCGTTATGTTTCAGTCCGTGGGTGATACTATACGGGCTTCCAGAAGCGACATCACAAATTGACATCGTGATAATGATTGACTGTTGAACTTCAGTTCCTCACCATTCATATGAGGTTTCAGGGAGGTCCGTTCAAGAAACGGGGCCAGTCTGCAACAAAGACGCTGCCCTCTCAAATTTGGGGGGAGCTATCCGGCAACTGGACTGCAGCATTGAGAAAAGTATGTGAGTGACATGCCGCGCAGTGCAGACTGGAACGCTTCAGGAAAGTCTGGAACAAAGAGTGTTGATCATGGCTTTGGCCATGGCATAGATATGCGCTGCATTGCAGGTTCAAGGCCCTGTTGCTTGTGGGCTGTCAGTGTGCTTGTCCGCAAGGTTGGTGCAACTAGCTTGAAGGAAAATGCGCTGCCCTTCGCAAGCCACGCGTGGACTGGATGTGCTGCAGCCTTTGGCTTGCAGAAGATTGGCTGCCAGGAGATTACTCTCTGGCTCTAGTGAAGAGCATGAGAGGACCTTGTCTGACGTCAACAATCCGCAAGTGGCACGCATCGTGTTGAATAGATTGCCAATTAGCAAACGAAGCAAAGTAAGTTCCACTGCGCCACTTGAACTAGAGTAGAGCAGACGTGACCAGGGAGTCTGCTTCGACGCGCCCAGGGCTTGGCTTCCAGATGGCGGATTCAGAAAGGACTCCTTGTCCAAATTGGGGTGGTTAAGCCAGGTTAAGATAAGGAGGTATCTAGGGCCTCTAGGGGCCTTGAAGTTGGCATCTTCCCGGAAAGGAGAATTGCAACGGGTCTACTTTGCTGTCTCACGTGTGGCTGGATCATTTGCTGCATCATCATCCTGACCATCAACTTGGCCATGCCGGGGCTCCCTTTTTTGCAAGAGCTCTTGGTGACAATGATGCTCGGGAGTTTCTTCTTAAACCTTTTCGAGGAATGCTTTCTTTGCGTCTGGACTCCTATTCTCCTAGACCTAGACAGACCAGAGAAATTCTTGAAAGTCGTCTCCTAAGCAGCTGAGGATTAGTTTGACTTGCTTCCTGTGCTTGTCAGCTCGCATGCTCACCCTGAGCGCCTCCGAGCCAGACTTGCCAGAGTTTGGCAGCTTCAGACCTCGAAGGCAAGTGTGGTCTTCCATGAAGTTCTCCACTACAAACATGCCTCCGCCGCAGTTCCACCTTATTCAGTTTGATAAGCCCTTCAGTGACGCCAGCCGACCAGTGAAAACTGTACTGCGGAAAGTGTGCGTACCAGCAGAACCTCGAGTGGTTCCGCAGCTGACCTGTGCATGCTGTTTGGATGATTTCTCGACAAACGACCTGGTGGCCTTGCTGCCCTGCGGACATATCTTTCATGAGGAGTGTGTCATGAGGTGGTTCCTGACTACAGCGTACGACGGTGCCTGCCCTATGTGTCGGGCGCGCTCCGTGCACCATGCTATCAGTGTCTCCGGGCCATGAGTGTCAAGGCTTTAAGCTTCAGATGTAGTTGTAGTGACAAAAGCCGTTTGTTTTTGCTTCCAAGGGCCTTCAGGTTTTAGCCAGTTTCGCCATGACAGAGCCGCCTGTGGCTCCACCTCCGCCCTCCAACTCCCCTCAACCTCAAGAGATGGAAGGAGTAGGAGCGCTGTCCTGTGGCTTGAGCCCAGATGCCGGGCGTGTTGGCAGTTGTGGTAGGCACTAGTTATACAGCAGCTCCAGTGTGATGTGGTACAATGGGTATCATGTTGCTGGTAGGTCATCGAAAGACCATGAAAGACCTAAGAACTGCTCGGATAATGACAATTGCGACTGCCCTAGGGTGTCTCAGGTTCAGAACCTGGGTGCTCGTGTTGCAACTGCCACGGCTTGAGGACTCTGGAATGAAGGGGTCCTTTATTCATTTAATCTGTACAGCACAGCATACGAATCACATAATGCTCCATCTGCGTCGAGCTTGAAGAGAGACAAGACGCTTCGCTTCAACGTGGGCCTGAAGCATCCCATCAACGCCCGTCATCATAACGCTCTCATTGCCTCTTGAGGTTAGTTGAGGAGAAAGCTGATGTAGTGCTCTAAATACTTGGGTCGAGCCCACTTAGTTCTGATGCGGATGTTTGGGGACTGAGGAGCTCACTTCAGTCTCTTCATGAATGGAAGTAGCCCCCCCCTCAAGGCATTGCAGTTGTGGGCTGCTTCAGGCTCCAGTTTATAAAGTTGTTTTTGAGATTTTTGGGTGCACGTGCACGTTCAGCCTAGGCTTGCACGTGCGGTGCACCGGTCTGCGTGGCTAGGTAAGAAATCAGTCAAGCTTTAACAAGGTTGTACCCCATAGCCCTCGACAGTCGTTTTTGCTGGGGGTTAGTGTACCTAGCTGCGTGCCTTTGCTTAGGAAGGTCCTGCTAAAGGGTTCGCAGCACCAGGCATCCTGACTCAGCTGCGAAATCCCACGGCAGAGGGACAGAGAGCGTTTCTAAAATTATGGTTTTTAAGTAGCCCAAAATACTAAGTGCAGCACAGAAAGATATTAAACAAGGTGAAAAGGGCCACCACCTTTGAAAACTACTCAGATACCAAGTTGCCCAAGTTCTGGATGCTCAAAGCCAAGAGGCTGGAAGCAATCCTTGTGAATTGGGGAGAGGGATGAGAGAATTGCAAGAGAAGCTTGGAACAACTCCACTCTCCCTCTCCCCATGCTTCACGCACTCCTGACACGGCCCCCTCATGGAAGTCCTTGACCTCAGCTAAAGTGTCGTCAGGGGTTTACGAGGGGCTTGCCGAGAGTGTGTCCCTGTGAGGTGATAGTGCATGTAGGTGCTTAATCACTGGCTTGCTTGGCGCTTGAAAAATGCCTTTTCATAATCACCAGGCTTATCACACGTCATCTCATGAAGAGCGGCATACTTCTTGCAAGATTGTTACACAATCTTGGCGTGAAAAGCAAGTACCCCCAGACCTCACACACCGCATAATCCACAGAACCCCTGATTCCTTTCTGGACTACGTACACCCCAAAAGGGATTCACAATTCCTGAGACCTGGCCTCACTCGCGGCCCAGGTTGTTGCTGCATTCCAGGTTCCTTCTGGCGGTGATGCTTCTGCTCTGCAGGGCTCAGCCTGCCCAGCGAAACTTTGAGTTTGGGCTTGGAATGGGCCTCGAAACCTTGGAAACCGTGCATGGATGAAAATCTTGCACCAACTTGCGTATAAACCACATTTTACAATATTCTGGATGTCCCAAGCGGGTGCACGATGATTTCTTCATCCCCTGTACCTAAGCTGAGGGATCGGGCTTTCTGATATCCAAGCCAAACTCCGAGATTTGCAAATTCTGCAGGCCTGAGCAGAAGATGAACAAACTTCTTCTCCGATATTGAAAACCTGTTATAGCATGAGATCAATTTCAATGCTAGGGGGTTCATCTAGAACAACATGGCTTCTTCATTCCGTGTCGCCAATATGTGTGTGGCTTTGCTACCAAAGTTTCGTTGGCAGAGTCAGCTCCAAGGATGCTTGTCATGCAGGCTTACATGGCATGGCGTTAGACGATTCAAAGTGAGACTGTCCGAAAGGAATGCTTGGGTCGCGCTTCACACACATTAATGTATCGTGATCTCTTGTCACCCAAATGGCCCCAGGATACACCTGCTGTAGGAACCTCACATGACTTTGCCAGGCTAGCTTGCTTTCCAAGCTGATCGGCAGCCCATCACTCAAAGTTGCAGGGACCCCGGCCTTTGAAGAGCACAAAGCGCAACATAGCAAGGGCTCCAAACAAGGTCTCAACTGGGTGCTGCACCGCACTGCTCTCAAGCCTGCCCTGAATGTTGGCACTTGACTTCTGCTCCAGGAGTAGAATGGCTTCAGTCATCATGAACACCACCCTGAAACATGTGAAGAAGGTTCCTGACAGGAACGGTGCCAACCTTTGATAGGACATGCAGAGTGTCATTGAGACCTGTTGTTGCGATTAATGGCAATGTAGGGCCAAAGGTTGTTAAAGCAGTTCAGCCTCCAGCTCCAACTCCAGCTGCTATTGCCAGTGCAACAAATTGCTCACAGTTTCTCACGGCACGAGGCGACCCTGTTGAACTTTGCAGCTTCCCACCAGAAGCATGTTTGAGCTTGGGATTCACCAGGTATGGCCAGCCCTGCTGCGCCCTGTGCGACCCTCTCCTTGGCCGATCCAGGCCAAGAAGCCAAGCTGATGCCGCTTACAGCGCTGAAAGGGTATAATGTTGGTGACAAACACGCGCGCGTGTGGGATTTCAACTGAGGCAGGTTAGTGCGATGGGAATTTGAGGTTCGCGGCTGCAAAGGTTTTGAGATTGGAAGCTAGATGATTTAAGCCGGCTGGTTGTTGAGCGCCCACGTATCTTAGAGTAACACGTGAATTGACCGGCCTGCCTCGCTCTCACTTCACACGTTTGAGGTTTCCGTACCCCGCATGCACACCTTGAGCCTTTTGCTTGAGACTTTCACCAGACAAGGCTCGGGCAGCCGCCGGAAGAGGCTTTGGAGTTGCCCTGCGGGCTCCGCCAGACACAGCGCTGGGGGTCCCGGGAGGTTCGTTGAAAACTGGATGCGCTGTCTTCAAAAATCATAATGAGGGGCCTTATGAACACTAGTGACTAGTACGTAATTGCTGTCCTCTAAGGGACTGACCATATGGGATTCCATGTCCGTTTAGGGGAGATGGCCCAGGTAATGCTTATACAGGACTATATGCGCTTTGCGGTACTAGCACACTGCGTCCATGAAGATTAGCCAGGAGCCTGAGTACTGTAAGTCACGGGGACGTCACAGACAAAAAAACCTGCCCACATGGACTGGAAGATGTTGTGATACTAATCTCCACTGCAAATCATGTATTGTTCTGTTTAATCGGTACAGGGACCACTGAGTCGTTGTGAGGGATCTTCGCTTCCGCGCCGCTCTGTCTGCACTGGGAGCACCTGATGAAGAGAAGGCTTCAAAAAAACAATGGTGGAGCCGAGTGGCTACAGGCTTTGGGTGTTCAAGCCAGGCATCCCCGTGGTTGAAGGTACGGGCCTCCAGGCACCTGGACATTCTCAGGCTGATGTGGCATGAGAGGAGGTTCAGATTGACCCTGTGGCTGATACTTGAAGCAGGCCCCAGCACTCAAAAGGGGAATCCCCATTGACAAGGAATGACCAGACCCCGGCTCAGGCCTTGCCCTGAGCTGGTAAAGACCTTGAAGGACCAACTGCGGATGTGTGGGGAGGCCACCAGGAGTATGTGGGACTAGAAAGGGAAGCATCCTCGGGAATTTTGGGAGGTTTTGAGAGCATGCTGCACCTACTTCTTAAGAAGCAGGAGAACACCTGAGCTAGCGGAGAATTCTGAACTCAGAATTAGTCGCGGCAAGTGTGCGCTGCTGAGGATTGGTTACGTTACTTGGGATTTTAGGATAATCTTCTGTGGTGTGTCTCCTTGCCCGACCTACCGGCATTTGTCATCGCAAGTATAAAAGCAGGAATGTCTGTCACCTGCTTGCTGCCCATGATTTGCACGTGGCTCTGCAAGCCTTGCGCTCACGCAACAGCGGGTCTTGCCCGCTACGTGCTTACCATACTCAGCACTTTCATGAGAGCGGCCAAGCAAGGACCAACACCCTTGGAAACTCCTGCAAAGGTCCTCTCCTCGTTCATCTCATTAATCCTGCGTGTCAGGACTATTTGGAGTTCCACCGGGCGGCCAGGAAGACACTCCTGGAACAAGCAACGATGGGAACAGGAGGTAGCTTCTGCCCATGGCATCGTTGCATTCAGCATGGATGGCTGCCAACAGTAAGCATATGGACAGTCAGCTTAAGTTTCCACGATGTTCAACAACTTCCATGTTGCCAGGTCCACTTCCCAAGTTGCTGATCTACCGCTGCTCGGCCATGGGCTTCTGCGGTGGTCACGGTCCGGAGGCCCAGGAATCCAGACACATCAGCTTGAAACAGCCGGCAAGAAACAAAAATTGCCAAGGTGACCGTCTGAATGGGCTCCTCGGAGTTCTTCTGATGGCGGCAGCCTCCTGAGAGCACCTTCAGAACATGTCAGCGTAGCCTAGGTCAGGTCCTACAGTGTACGTACATCGTACATCTATGTCATCAGTGTGAGAGCGTCGAAATCTGGAGGGGTTTCTTTTTGGGGTCCTTGCGCTAAAAAACCCTGCTCCCGGTGAGTCTTTGGCAGCATGCAGCGATCACCAAAGAGCTCACAAGACTTCCGCTGCAAAGGGTTTTGATGCTTACCCCAACCATCTCCAACCATAATGGTGATCATTTGTTTAGATTTGTTGCTTATTTTCGAGGCTATCGTGGTTCCTTCCTTGCTGCTCCCCCGCCTCCTTCACCTTTTCGTCCTTTATCTTTGTGCAGATAGCCTCTCAGCGGGCTTTCTTCATCGACTCCGCGCGCCGGGGGTCTTAGACGTGGATAGCCCACCTTGGTCAAGCAAAAAACATTACG